TGTTTCAATTGATCCCTCGTGCAACCTTCCAAGTCCTCGGGCTTGCCTGACTCCACAAACGTTTGCACCTTATCCATCTTTGTCCTGTGAGTCTTCCCAAGAGAGAGAATATACACCTGCGGTCACACAGTTTATTTCAGCAAGGGTGTACAAATCCACTCTTGGACAGGGTGTGGGTGTGTCAGTTCACTCTCCCGGACACAGGCCCCCAATTTATTATAGACTGTGGGTTGGTTGGTGTTGTCTTCGTTGATCCTTCTCTACGGACAACCCAACCCACAACTCGGTAGAGTGCTTATGCTAGGAGATCACCCTTGGCGCTTCTGGCTCTTGGAGAGGGGCTCAACGTCACACGTTTAGGGGATGCGGCTCCAACACTTAGCCTCGTTGTCACGTGCACACACCCACTCGAGCCGCTGTGACTCCCCACTCTCTCCTTATGAGATATGATCTCCTCAATCCCCTATGACTTACTAGTATTACCTCCTACCCTGTCCACAGCAGTGGTTCTTGGTTCTTTCTCTCTCTCTCTCCTTCTTCACTACTTCCTGGGAAGCCTCACTAGGACAAGGGCAAACACCAGCAAATTGTGACACATTTACTGGACAAAGCACATACACGATTCATACACACATATAATAATAATGAATCCTATACTCTATAATATCACAATCAGGTTGCACTCCAACACCATCAGAACTCTATTATCAGCTTATCAAGTGGTATCCTATCTCCTGGTTCACCACCTGATACTATTAACCTCCTCAAGTTGATCAAACCTACATACACTGTTGCACCATCAGCAAGATAATATATACAGTATATAGAAAATCAGCATTTGAATGCAATCACATATATCAGTATAAATGTTCATTGATACTTCAGTATAAAAAAAAAACTCCTTGACATAAGAATGCCAACAGTCACTCACCTCTCACTGCGTCTTGCACGCTAATGACAACCAAACACTATCAACTCCCTATAAGTAATCCACCAGAACTTCCCCTTCCACCTCTGGAAGTTCACAACCCTAATATCCTTAGGTTCTGCCGGGCTTCACTACCAGGATCCTCTGCAGCTCCTCCAGGCTGCTATCATGAAGTTTCCTTGTGCAACTACGGTGCTTCACCCTTCTGTTAGGTTCTTCCACAGCTCTCTTGGCTGCTACACCACCTCTACAGAAGCACGTGACACTCCTCTTCACTGCTGCTTCTCCTCACAGCTCGAGGTCCTCTGCTCCACTACCTTGGAGTCTCATCAGCTACATCATCTGCTGGCTTCGAAGTTCTCAGCAACTTCTTCCCCAAAGACAAACCTGCAACCCATCGACGTTCCAATAAAATGTTCCCCTTTAACACATAAACAAAAATAACCACACAATATGCTTGCCTCAAACCTCTATCTGTCCTCTACATACAGTGAGAGTGGACTCCCCCGTTTTGGGCGGGTCCATACTCCACCTCGCCTGGCGGCGGTCCTCACTCGCTGGGAGGGTCTTCCTCCATCCGGAGCCAGGCTCCCTCAGTCGTCCGCCAGCGCTCAGAGGGGTCGGACGTCGCTCCGTGTTCCTCCCTCTCCACTCTCTTATTTCAGGCTTTCTGCCTTATTAAAACATGTCTAACCTATAAATAAACATTGCTACTGTCGCTGGGCACACGACCAACTACAAGCGATCACTATGAACTGGCGTATATCGTGCTTACCACAGATTAATTGGTCGAGGGCGCTTTCCCTCTGACGGCGTCTGGTCAGGGCGCTCCCACGGCCCACAATAATGCCTCTGGCCGGCTTGATACTCTCTTCTTCGACCAGGACTTGAGACCACAACGTTCCCAGCTCAGTTCCACAGCTGGCACGTCTGCACACTTCTCTTCTCTTAGAGATATATCACTAGGGGTTCCCTTCTGACGGGAGCTCAACGGAGCGCGGCTTCCCCCTGCGATGTCTGGCACTCAAGTGAGGTCAAGGTCCTCCAGAAGCGAGCCTCACGCCTCCAGCAAAATGTCCACATCTCCTAGCCAGTCATTTATCTGTTTTCTTCTTCATTGCCCATAATCTCAAACTGTTACACATATCCAAGCAACTATTTTACATATGCGTTATCACCTCAATATTCGCTAGACCTTCTAATCAGGTCAGGCTTGACGAATAACTCTCAAGGAGGGAGACTCGTTTCTCCTGCAGGCTGAGATCATAACAATATCTCTCCCGCCTGCGCTCAAGGGAGTACAGATTTAGGCTCTTTAGTCGGTCCCAATAGTTTAGGTGTTTTACTGAGTGGATTCTAGCAGTAAAGGATCTCTGCACGTTCTCCAGGTCAGCAATTTCTCCAGCTTTGAAAGGGGCTGTCATTGTGCAGCAGTGTCTAGTGGCTGTCTCTATGTGCAGCAGTACTCCACTCTAGAGAGCACAAGCGTTTTGAAAAGTGTCATCATCGGTATAGCATCTCTAGTGTTAAAAGTTCTTGTTATCCAATCTGTCATTTTTCTTGCAGTTGTGACGGATACTTTATTGTGTTCTTTAAAGGTAAGGTCTTCCGACATGAGTACACCCAGATTCTTTACATTGCCTTTACGTTCTATGTTATGATTTGCCTGAGTTTTGTACGTGGTTTCCGTTTTTATATTTTCATTTTTTCATAGCGCATGAGCTGGAACTTATCTTCGTTAAACACCATATTATTTTCTGTAGCCCATAGAAAGACCTGATCTACATCTGACTGAAGGTTTGCCGTGTCCTCTATGTTGCCTACTCTCATGAAGATCCTAGTGTCATCTGCAAAGGATGATACAGTGCTATAGGTTGTGTTCTTGTCTATGTCCGATATGAGGATGAGGAAAAGTACTGGAGCAAGCACAGTACCCTGGGGGACTGAGCTCTTCACGGTTGATGGGCTAGATTTTATTTTGTTGACTATTACACATTGGGTTCTGTTGGTCAGGAAATTGTAGATCCATCTGCCTATTTTTCCGGTAATTCCTTTTGAACGCATTTTATGTGCAATAACGCCATGGTCACATTTATCAAAAGCTTTTGCGAAATCTGTGTAAATTACATCAGCGTTTTGTTTGTCATCCATAGCATCTAATGCAATATCATAGTGTTCCAGCAACTGCGACAGGCAAGAGCGCCCTGTTCTGAAACCATGTTGTCCGGGGTTATGGAGATGCTGTGATTCCATTTATTTTGTGATCTTACTTCTTAGCACTCTCTCAAAATTTTTTATAATGTGCGATGTTAGTGCTATCGGTCTGTAATATTTTGCCTCTGCCTTATTTCCTCCTTTATGAAGTGGTGCTATCTCTGCTGTTTTTAGTATATCAGGAATAACGCCAGCATGCACACGGACGATGCTAAGGTTGAAAGTTGCTGAACTCCCACACCAATAAATGTGGAAAGCACGTACGCAATATACACCGGTTTACACACTTGCATGGTATTTGCAGAAGGCTGATTGAAAGCACGCTTGAGTATCTTTGGGTATCTTTTCCCTACGAGAAGGACGCCGGGGAGCAATAGCGTAGACAGTAAAATAAACAGAGTCCACGCTTCCCACTATTGAAGATTTACACACGATCTTCACTTCAAACAACTGGAATCACTACTTGATTCTTATTTCTCACAGTTACTGAGCAATAGGATGACGGATTGCTTTCGGTGAAGCTAATAACTCGCGTTCACTTCGCAATCAACAGTCTAGTTGCACCTATGAGTGACGCTTGCTGACGGCTAAGACTTCACATATCTTCATTAAATTTGACTACTGACGGCACCCCATCACTGTAGGATTCTGCAACAGCAGTGGGGGACAGCATAGAGTCAAAATAGGCTGGCTGAACCTTAATAGACAGGAAAAAGACCCCTGCTCTGGCCGGAACAGAGGTGGTCCTAGTCTGGTAGGCACAGCGCCGCAGGACAGAATAACACCTTGGGCGGGAAAACTCGATGCCGCGGCTCCCTTGATGCCAGGCACTCGACCAATCAGTGACAGTGAAGAACATGGTTTCAGGCGCTGCTTGCCCGGTGTCCGAACCCAGAGGTTTTTCCACGACTCCACCTCTTTCAACAGATCGGCCTGATCCGTTATGAGACCTGTTCGCTCTTCTCGAGTCTTCACGTTTGGCTCTTCTCCAGCGCAGGGGTTTCTGCTCTTTTGGTTGTGGTGATCTTTTGAAGGTTTGTTCGGTTGCAGCCGTCTCCTTTTCTGGCAAAGAATGAGACTGCTGCTTTCCAGAGGGGTCCTTGGGTTGTTGATGCTTGGTTGGTCAGGCTGGGGGGTGCATCATGTGTTGTGTCCGGTTGCGGCCCTCCGCCGTTATTTGCGCGCCACGGCTTCTGTGTCTGGGGACGCGCTCTGGGTTGATCCAGTTTCCCCTTCTTCCCTGTTCGAGGGTATGGGTTTCTCAGGTCGTCCGAAGGGTTATTATGTCTAGCCAGCCTGTGGTCTATCCCCATGCCCATGACGTTCGTAAGTTTGCTGCTCTTGCTGCCGTCTTTGGTAACATGTCTTGGGCTGACATTCAGGTCCGGGGTTTTTGGCGATCGAACAGGGTCCTGGCTGCACACTACCTTGTCATTGTTCCTGGGCCTAGTTGGGCCTGTGTCGCTTTGGGTCGACGGTTGCAGCCAGTTGTCTCAACTTCGAATTGAGATGTGAGCACCGACCGCCTTCCAGTTAAGTCCCTTTTCTTTTCGTCTTTGGTGAAGTAGCTCCGGGGAGCCATAGGTCCCGGTTGATGGCAGATATAGAATGTTCCCAACCACATGGGGGATTCTATTGCCATTGCTCCTTGTGCCTCTCTGAGTGGCTAGGTTCTCGCTCTTGGTCCTTGGTAGGCCTAGAACTCCATTCACACTGACTGATGCCAAAGTCTAATGATATCCATTCAGCCTGGATAGCTCCGGGGAGCCTCCAGGACTCACCCAGAAAATGGCGTTTTATTACATTCAACACTGTTTTTTTTTATCTCCTAATATGGTTTTGTTTCTCTTTAATACAGATGACCAGCAGAAGAAAAGTGATGTAGTAACGCTTCTAAAGGCTGCTTTAGGCTTAGTGAAGACAGATGGACAGAGTAGTTCATTAGCATCTACAAGTGAAAGTGAGCCATTGTAGTTGTTTGAAGTATTAGCTATCACGTCAAATAATGGATCATCATTGTCACTTGGAAAATTGCCTTACAATATTGAAGTCAGGTGTCAGAAAGCAATTTAAGCATTATTTATATTCTTTTATGTTAATGGCACCGTGGAATAAATTTTTGCAGTGTGAAGGATGCATAAACAGTATTGCACTCGAATCTTCGTTCTCTTCACCATATAGCACAAGGAATTAAATTATTTATTTTGTCAAGCAAATTGCTTTAGTAATTCATGTTTAAAATTTTTGCTATGTCTTATTAGTTTTGTTATGAAAAGTAGATGATGTTAAAATATGTTTGTACAGTATATATATAGTTTTTTACTTGTTTAGCACTCTCTTTCCTACAACATAAGAGTGTAAATTATTTGGCCTCCTTCCCTCTAGCAGTGCCTCAATAGTACTGCTTCATCTACTCCCACATGTTAATGCCACTCAGACCGACACGCAGGGAAACCTCACTACTACTCAACACTGTTATGTCTGTGTGTGTGTTGTGTCATCTTAATAACTCCCAGTCCAAATTTATTATAAATTAAAAAATAAGGTCAGTATTGTCTATAGTGCTTTTAATCTTAGGTTGAACATGTCCAAATAAATCTGAAACTGTTTTCAACCGCAGTGTATTTCTACTTTAGAAAATGATAAAACAGTACTATTAAGTCTTTCCAACACTTTAGAAGGAATTGATTGTTCTCATTCTGTGGCAACACTGACCCTGATGAGATTGTTGGTTGTAAACCATTTAGGTTCACTCACAGTCAAGTGGAAGATTTAGTAGATTCATAACTGTTTAATTAGTTTTCTGAGTTGTTAATTATTTACACAATCACAGTGATTGGCAGTTATGTTACTTTTCATGAGTTGTATATAAAGTATGAATTTAAGTGTTGAATGGTTGATATGTTTTTGTTGTCCTAATGCTACTTAACCATGAATGTATTGGGAGGATAAATCTAGACCCCCCTCCCCCTTCCCGTCCTGCCAACCCCATGACCCAGCATACATCACAAGGGGGTAGCTGTGAACCCAGACTTGCCCGTCGTAATAGCAAGGTTTCCCAGTGTTCGTTCTCTACTCTTCCATATGTTGTTCAGTAGCAATTGCCATGTCCATCAACACTTTTAATCAGTATTTTTTTACCTAAACAATGTTTATTTGTAAGCAAAGGGATTGTAAGATTAATTTGAGTAGAGATTTGTAATGTTTCTATTAATTAAAATATTTTGTTTCACATGGCTGTTTTAGTTTTTGTTCAGTTTTTAATTTTTATGTTTTTATTTTTGTGCAACCTGTAACTACACAGGTAACTACATGTGTACATGCACTTATATATACTTACACACACGAACACATAAAAACACAAATAATGAGTGTTTCTGGGCTGACCCTGAGTAGCTTCCCAGTGCTTAAGGCTATGGTACCACAGACAAATGCTACCAGACCTCTGGACTTGTGCAGGCCTTCCCAAGACCAGGATCAAACTCGGCCCACTATTCAAGTGACAAGTGGAGTCTGGGGATTAGAGATTGACCCAAAACTAAAAAAAAATAAAAATAAAGCTGCCTAGAAAGTACAGGCAATGCTAAACAACTTATTTTTTTATACAAAATGAAAAGTAAGGAAGCTAGACAAATGATAGATGGCAGCAGGTAAATAATAAATAACCTCGGCACCAGTTCAACCGACCTGGGTGGCATCCCAGGTCACCCTGGGATTCCCGCACGAGGCAGAAACAAATGGGCAAAGTTTCTTTCACCCTGTTACCTAGCAGTAAATAGGTACCTGGGAGTTAAGTCAGCTGTCACGGGTTGCTTCCTGGGGGTGGAGGCCTGGTCGAGGACCGAGCCGCAGGGACACTAAAAGCCCCGAAATCATCTCAAGATAACCTCAAGATCTCAAGATAACCCTGAGGTCTGGCTGGTCCGCACCCTCTCAATCATACTTTCGGGACCATTTTCTCTTGCTTATCAGTTAGTATTAGCATTCATTGGGACATGTCCTATGAGGACCATGGTTTCTATCTTGTTTTAATATACTCTTCATTGTAGTGTTTATACCACCTGCCTTGCATGTCCCCGGCAGTTTATCTTGCTCCAACTTCGATTCAGGACTCTCTTCTTTAGTGTGGACTGTTAGCTGATGGCATTTGGTTATACTGTATTGGCACAGAGGTTGTTTACCCACACTATTGTTTGTCATGTTTTCTTACTTTCCTTTTCTTAGATTAGTTATGTGTTTTGATTTCCTTATATTTCTGGAGGAGCCTCTGATGGCCCCTTGAAGCTATCTTGCTGAGATGGCTTTTGCCTCTGAGTCATATTAGCCATAGGAGTCTTATATGGCCTACCATGGGTCAGAGCTAGAACCTGGCTTCCCCATTGCTCTCACAGACGCACAGGGAGCTGAGGATATTTATGATCATCCACACTGAGAAAACATCCATAAATTAAGTGAAGCCATACAAACAACTGCAAGGTTCAAATAGAACAAAGCACCAAAACAGCCAAACATCTCTGCAAAAATTCATTCAAACCTAATGATTAACTCACTAGTGCAAAAGGCCACCAACAGATGGCCACCCCCCAACCCCATGATCTCCAAAGTTTCGTGCCTGCAATACATCAATCCTGTTAATGTCGAAGCAATTAGACTTTTCTGAGTCACCAAACCATAGTGAGCCCCACTTTTTCTCCGAGATAAGTGTAGGCCTTTCTTTGTACTCTGCCCTGTGGAGGCTAGTTGCTTCTGTATCATTCCTAATCTTTAGTATTTGCCTAACAAGCATATGTTCACAAGCCTCACTTGTTGCATAGACTTGGTCTATTTTTCCCTATGAGCTGCATCTGTTTAGGGGAACCCATCCCCCAATTGTTTGTTTAGCATTTCTCCTGCCCTGATAGTGATTTCTCTGGTATATCCAGGAGTTGGCCCCTGAGAGGCCAGGCTACTGTGTAGAGAGCCTCACCCTGGGTAGTGCTCGAGTCTTTGACTCCTCTGTGGTACCCTGCGGTTGGATCTGTTTGGTGTTTCATTGTTATGGGCAGCACTGAAATTTTGCAAGCTGTTTATTCAGTATGCCACTGATGCCCTTCGTAGCAGTGTTCATCCTGTAGGCTGCATTCAGTGTAAGTTCTTTCAGCAAGCATCTCTAGTGCCTGGGTGTTCTGCTTGACTACACTCTTTGAGGCCTTGGCAACTCGTCTGCAGCATGACTCATATTGGTCGAATTGACGAACTCACACATGCTACTTGCGAGTTTGATGGTTGTCATGTCGGTTTTGCTGCAAACTGATGGTCAGTGTTGTTGTCTCCTGCTGCTGCCTATTGGGTCAGTATTACCCTATACCCCCACGGCCTGTCATGTTTAGGTTTACAGGTTCGCTATTATTGTTCAAGCCTACGTCTTTTGGTTTTGCTACTTTGTTAAGACTCCTGAGGCCACTGCTGCTTCGGGTTCGTTTGTCCATTTGTTGTTACGGATTCATGTTCCTGCGGTTGCCCTGAAGTCGGCCTGTTTTGTTTTGGGGGTTTTGGGGTTGGACCAGCTGATGTTTCTGATTTTGACCTTTCTGCTGATGGTCCTTCCATAGTCCACCTAGCTGTTTTTGTGCAGACCCCCTTGTTCTGAGGTGTAGCTTGGCCTTCTCTGGGGGTTGATCCTTCCACTTTGATACCAAAGACAGTTGAGCCATTGTTTCCTGCCAGGATTTTGAGTTGTCTACTCTGAGGAGTGTCTGTGGTTCGTTTCCTTGACTGCTAGTGATGATGTCCTATCTGTTCAGGCATAAGACATAAAGCTCAGCTATGGCTTGAGAGTCTTGTTTACAGACTTTTGGGACTGGAGGGTGGAGGTAAAGCCTGAGGAGTCTCCCTGCATGTCCTTCAACCCTTCCTAGTCTTTGTTTCTGTCAGTGGAGGGTTTTTTGCTTGGGGCATTGAGGCCTTCCTTTTATGTGCATGGTCAAGCAAAGTTCCTTGGCTGGGCCCCATTTACCTTCCCACTGAGTGTACATTTCCAGGGCCCAGTGACTCTTCCTCCTTACTTTAGGTGGCTTTTTCTTGGTCTGTCTCATGTATCAGCGGATCGTGCTGGTCTAGATTCATTTTCCTCTTATCTGTCCCTTCTCTCTTCTGCTAGGGACTGTTTCTTCAGTCCTTTCAGTGGAATTTGCTACTCACCAGCCTCTCAGTTGAGGCCTTTTTGTGAAGGCTTTGCTTCTCTTGGGTGGTAATTACCTAAGTGCAATTACCTAAGTGTAGTTACAGGATGAGAGCTACGCTCGTGGTGTCCCGTCTTCCCAGCACTCTTTGTCATATAATGCTTTGAAACTACTGACGGTCTTGGCCTCCACCACCTTCTCAGCGTGGTGACAGCCCTTCTGTGTTAGATCCACTCCAGTTCCTGGTTGGGGTCAGCCACCACTGGGGTCTGCTTCCCAGGTTGCCCTTCCCTTCTCCGACTGGTACTTCTGCAGGTCTTTGTTGTGGGCTTTTCAAGTTGTGTCCATGGTTAGTGGCTGTGTGGTAGGCCCTTCAGAGATTTTGTTTTTCTCTGGACTCTGTTTCCCGGCTTCATTTCAACTGCTCGCTCATTTGTTGCAGTGAAGGATAGTTAGGTACTTATGGTTTTGGAGCTGGAGTCTTTGAGCAGCTCAGCTTCTGCCTCCTTAGGGTTTGTTTCCCCATGTAGAGCACGTGTGTGGTGTGTCAGGCATTCTCATGAGTGGTTATCTCGTTTTCGTCCCTTTTCAAGGAGTGGACCATCATCAATACGTCCTTCCAGTTTCTCTGCAAGACATTTGGTCGCTCTGTGGTGGACCTCATCATGTCAGCATTGAACCAGTAGACTCTCCTTCATGGCTCCATTCTCCCAGTTGTGAGGCTGTCACAGTGGGTGCCTTTTGGATAGACTGCTTGAGGGGGGGAGGGATTCCTGTATCTCTTATTCTCCTTGTTCAGTTGTTGATCTAGTTATTGTCCAGATTGAACATGTGCTTGGGCAAGGTGATTTTCCCTGACTCTTTTTGGCCCAGTGTCCAAACCCAGACATTTTTTCACAGCTCTGCCTCTTTCAGCAGATCATACCAGTGATGTATGTACCTTGCTGGTTCAGCCTTCTCTGCATATCAAAGCATCAGGAGTTTCTGATGCGAGTATACTACCATTTGTATGGTGCAAGTTGGCTAATGTGTTAATGTTCCACCTTCGTCTTTTGTCTTGGTGGCAGTGGGAAATTTCCTGGCACTCTTTTTTGCCTCTCTGTCTCTTTTCATCATCTTTCTTCTGTGTCTATTCTGGTGGTCTTGTTCCCTTGTCTTGGTTGTTGTTTATTGGCACTTTATGCCTACTACTGTCTGCTCTTATCACGCAGTTTTGATGGAGCCACTCTTGTTGACATTTGGCGTTGATACTTCCTCGGCACCATTTCATAAGTTGTCTCATGCTCTCTCTTACCACTGGCTGGTTCATGCTACTCCTGAGTCATCTTGGTCTCTCGTTTCAGTGTTAGTGTTTTTTCCTCCCTCCAGTTCCTGGTTACCCGTTTGGTCCAGGATACCTTTCTGTTGGCACTGTTTTTGTTGACCCTTACCCTCTTACCCTTACCACCAGTTTTCAGATTGGGCAGCTTTGTGCTCTCTTCTAGTGTTTTAGGTTCTCTTCCTTTGGCCTTCTGGGTCGTTTCTTCATTTGCAACTTTTTCTGCTAAAAAGTGAGACAGTAGACTTCCAGGGGGGGTTCCTTGGTGTATGATACTTTGTTTATTTGGCTGAGGGTTCATCATTTATTGTATCCAGTCATGGGAGCTCATCGCTACCTGCACACTGCCTACTCAGCTTCAGTTGAAGTCCTGTTGGTTGACCCTGTTTCCATAGTTCATTTTATGGAAGCACGATTGTCCTGCGTTGTTCTCAGTGTCATTAAATTTAGCCAGCCTGCCATTTACCCTTGAGCGCATGATGTTCACATTTTCATGGCTGGCCATTGTGTTTCCCTTATGTATTGTGGGGTTGCTTTCCAGGCTCAGGTGTTTGGGAGGTCTCTCTGGGTCCTGGGGGCATGTGTAGTTGTTGTTTTTTCCCTCCTTGGTAAATCCCATGTTTTTCCCTCTTCTCTGTTCTTTGATAGCTTTAAGGAGCCACCAGAAACCTAGCATTCAGTGTAATGAAACGCTTTTTTAGTGGAACCTCGCTGGCTCCCAGATTCCCTCCCCCTCAGTCAGGTTCATCGGTT